AAAATAAACAAATAAATAATAGCCTAAATAAATAAATAAATTCAAAAAAGAAGAAATATTAATATGCAGCTGATATCATCATGCACCATGACTATTTTGAAAAAGAAAGTTTTCTTCAGTTACAGTGCACTGTGGAGTCTGCTCTCAATTATGAGAAACTTCAATGTTATATCAAAAGTGGAGATTTAAAAAAAAACAATGCCCAGCAGGTGTCGCACTGTGAACATTGACAGCATTAGGGTAGGCCTACATGCTATCTCAAAACAGCCAGGATCAGAACAGCGGAAAAGTGACTGGACCTGCAGTTACACTAAATGAATACAATTGTAGCCTAGGCTATGCAATTTATAAATCGATAAAAGTCCTATTTTGATCACCATTATGTATCAAATTAATTATTTCACTCGTAGGCCATTTGATAAGCGGGAAAAATGTCACTCGGTTGTTGTGGAGAAATAAACCCAGACAGAGTCTCTTAGTCTACATCCAGGAGGACATAGGCTATTAAATGTGGAAACTGTGTTTCTGTTTTATGTCTGTGCTGTCCATTGTCTATTTGTGTCATTTTATGTAGCATATCAGGTCTTTTTTCCCCTGTATTCTTTTGTGGTCTGTATCTTCTGTGTATTACATGTTTGGACTGCAGATGGAAATCTAATCTAGGCTAATATAAATCTGGTGCAACCATCTCTTCATTTTCTGCTTGTAGAAAAGAATCTTTGATGTTTAGCAGTCACCCTGAACATTTAATTGGTAGGCTATTGTTTATAGCCTATTAATAATTATTATTGCATTGGTATTATTTAAGTTATTAACTGTGCCACCCCCTTAATTTTTCTAATTAATATTGCTTGTGGAGACATGCACGTAGGAACCGTATTTCCTCAAATAAAAGCCAGTATTCAATTAATAGCCGGGTCTCATATAATGGCCGGGGGCGTTAAAGGCCGGCCCCAAATAGCCGGGTCAAAAAAAAAAAAAAAAAACCTCTGCCACCTGGAACAAACTCACAATGATATGATCAGAAACTCTTTCAACTTGTGTGGACTGTCTGTGAAGACTGATGGGAGTGAAGCCGACCTCATCCTCTGCTTCAGAGAGGGACAGCCTTGCACTGTCGGACAGCAGGTCTCTGCTCCGTGTCCGGAGCCCGGTCGGGACCGGAGACGGACAGGAGCGCACGCTGTGAAAATGCTCTGATTGACTTGAATGGGAGCGAAGCGCTACAGCGTGCGCAACGGAGACAGAGACCTGACCCAGGTCCGACAGTGCAGCGAGGAGAACAGCACGTGAGGAAGATGAAGATGAACTAATGAAGGATGAGCTTGGTCGCTAATGTGTAAAAATAAACGGAGGGATGGGAGGATGGGAGGGGGTACTACTAGTGCTACTAGTAGCACTAGTAGCACTAGTAGCACTAGTGTCACTAGTGCTACTAGTAGCACTAGTGAAGGATAATACTACTTGTGTCACTAGTTCTACTAGTAGCGCCACTGCAACTAGTAAACTAGTGTTACTAGTAACACTAGTGGGAATCCTCGTTTCGTTTCATGTCCAGCACTGCAGGACAGTGTGTGTGTGTGTGTGTGTGTGTGTGTGTGTGTGTGTGT